CCTGTTTAATGATTTAAGTCATCTGGGTGTCCCATCACTAATCAGGGGCATCCCAGTAATTTCTTGTACCTTGTACTATATTCATCTATAAATAAAGAACTGGTCGACTGGCTAGTACAGTTTGACATTTTCAGCATCTCTTCTTCTTCTCCTCTTCCCTGCTACTTCGACTACAGTGGTTCAGCTTTCACCTTCCAATTCCTTATGATATCATCAATGGAGAAGTCCTTAAAAACCAATAAAGACTTCACCCAATGCACCACCTTGATAGGTGCATTTTCTACCATAGAATCTTTGTTGCTCACTTTTTTTTTGAAGGTTCTAGCATTTTTGTCTTCCTAAATACACCATAAAATTTTTGCCTTGGTAGTGTCCATGTGCATTAAAACAAAGAAAAGAAAAGTCCCAGATAGTGGAAGCCAAAATAAAATGACCAGTGGAGAAAAGAAGAAACCAGCCAATAAGATAGGAAAAGGTCCAGTGCACTTGGAAATTAAAAACCACCACAAGCTTTCATGTATTAACAAACAAGGAATTACTAGGTTAGAGATTCAAAAGAAGAATAAAGGAGAAGGAAGAAGAATTCCTCTAAATATTAAATCTATATTCTGCATGATGACTAGTGGTTCAAGTCATTATTCATTGCCAACCTGCGTTTCATTACTTGGCAAGAATTATTAATCCCCCTTCTGACTTATCTTCATGGTTGCCATCTTAGGTGATTGGTCCATACCGCTCAGGAAAATCCTTTCTTCTTAATCAACTTCTCTCCCTCTCGTGTTATGAAGGTCTGTTTTTCCTATTAACAGTTTAGCTTATTTTGTGTATTGCAACCTGGTATTCTCATTAGATGGTGTTTCTTTATAAGCTCGTTTCCTTAAACTAAAACTTTTGTAATCTTCAATTTCTTTACAGGATTTGGTGTTGGTCACATGCGTGATACCAAAACAAAAGGTTAATCTTATTTCTTTCTCTCTCATGCACTCAATTGCTCCCTCAACGGACTGATGCCATACTCTGGTTTCATGGTTGTTGTATAACATGGATCCAAGTTATGCACTTAGGTGCAGTTTTGACTACAATCATTGACATATGCTTTTCTTTCTTGCAGGGATATGGGTATGGGGAACCCCATTAGAATTGGATAAAGATGGAGTGAAAACATCTGTGCTTTACCTTGATACAGAAGGTTTTGAAAGTGTGGGGACATCTAATGTATATGGTGATAGGTAATAATTGGAGACATTAGTATCATGTGCTGTCTTGCATATTTACAACTTTTCCTATGCTGCCTTTCCTAATTTTTCCTTGATAGGATCTTTGCTCTGGCAACCATTATGAGTTCTTTGCTTATCTATAACCTACCTGAGACGGTTTGTCCTCTAGACTGTAACTTTTTTGAATTTAAGGATTCTTTTTTTTTTTTTTTCATTTGTTCTTCTTTGGGAATAGAGTATAACCCTTCTGTGGAGTTCTATTTTCTGAGACACCTTTGCATGGCAACCCAATTTAATATGCTATACATATAAAATTTTGTTGGTATATGGTGTCTTGGTTTAGATCCGTGAAGCAGATATATCCCGGTTATCTTTTGCTGTTGAGCTTGCTGAGGAATTTTATGGAAGGTTGGAAAGTTTCTATTTTCTTTAGCATTTTATTTTTATTTAATTTTAAAGGCTTTAGATAAAAAACTTTTCATGATTATTAGTAACAGAACCATTTCTGCCAACAATCCTAACTTGTTCCCTGGTTTTTCCTAATGCATACGTGTGGAAAAAGAGTGAAGGTAACCTACTTTTTTACTTAATCCTTCTCATATAAACTTGTAAGTTAGAAGATCATTTCTTATGAATTTAAATGGCTGAATATTTTTACAGGGACAAGATATTGCATTTGAGCCAGCCAAGCTTTTGTGGCTTATCCAGCGTGACTTCTTACGTAAGTTTGAACAAACTTATGGAACAAGTCTGAGATATAATGTTTTCCGGTCATCAAGTATGCTCTACTAATACCAGGAATCCAGGAACAGATGTTGGGGGTGGAACCTCTGACTTGATCAGTCTCATGTAAGAGGCATACTTTACATACATCAAAGAAACAAACAAATAAACCAATAAATAAATAAAAATTCCTTCACATGACATAAAGATGTCTGGTGGTACTTTCTTTAGGTCTATTCACCTAAAAACAGCCTAAGAATATCTACACTCCACATTCATGGGCATTGAATCTATGCAACAGAAAAGCTCCTAAAACCCCACTTTGTTGGTTGTCCATATGATCACTAACCTCCTAGAGACATTTGGCATAGATATTCAAAAATATCAAGTAATACAATTTCCTGGATGACAAGACATAACTTCCATGATTTTCTATTCACCATCATTTGATAGCTTACTTGAATTACCTTAAATAGCATGGGCTTTAACCATTCTGAAAACTTAGAGAAGAGCCAGAAGGTCCACAATATCAGAAGTTGCTGTCCTTTGGGCATCTTGGAAGAGGAGTGATCTTATCTCTTGTTGTGTGGAGGTTCTTATGAAGTGGTAGAGTTCAGAGTTACCAACTTCTGGAGGTTGAGATGTTCAGAGGAATTTGGCTTGATCATGCACGATGTACTATTGGTTGATCTTGATCTGATTGGTTTCTAATTGCTCCTTATTAAACACCCCTCCTCACTGTTAAAAAAAGAAGGTTGCAAACCATCAAGATCAATTTTTATGGTTCAATAGGCAATCTGGGTGATCTGGGATTAGAGGAATCTTCAGAGATAGTAGAGGAGAGGTTATCCTTGCCTTGTTCAGTACATCGTATTCAACTGGACATTTCAGTTCTTCCCATTAGCAAATAAGTCTGCCCATGTAAACTCTCCGGAGTCCCAGGGAACTTCAAAAGTCCAACTCATCCTTTCTAGAATAGTCCAAGTAAACTAGAAATACCTGTGTGCCACAGCAGATTCCACCCAATATGCTGACCATTAAATTGTTAAGAGCAACACTCCCTTGGTCCTGTAATTACTAGATTTGTTAAGAGGAACCTTAAGAGAAGTATTAGAGGGTTATTTTAATCCTTCAACTCTTATTTATGCAGTTGTGTTTTGTCCCTTTTGCTTTACGTAAGTTACATGTCCCATACTTAAGTAGGGGCATAATAGTTTTTGAATTCTTTTGGAAAATCTATATAGACTATAGAGTTGAGGTCGGATGGGTTATGGATTCATTCTCTCCAGTTCAGACCATTGATATAAAAACTGTAAAAGAAAGAAGAAAAGAAAGAGAAGAGAGATAGAAGAGAATGGGAGAAGCCAAAATTAGGTTTGTCCACCCCTTTCATTAGATTATATACTTCACAAATAAAAGAGAATACAAAGACAAGTATGCCCTTAGTAAGTCAGCTACTTGTAAGAACTGAATAAGCATTCTTAGCTTAAAAAATAAACTAATGGGCCTAAGGCCCAATAACTCCCGAACTATGCTATGTAAATAAAAACAATTAATATCGGCCATAAACTCAACACTCCCCCTCAAGTTGGGAATAAATGTCACACATTCCTAACTTGCGTAGATCAAGCTCCTGCTTGTTTCTTGCAACACCTTTTGTAAGAACATCAGCAAGTTGCAAGTCAGATGCAACATATGGTAAGCAAACTTCTCTGGATGTCACCCTTTCCCTTAATAAGTGTTTATCCACTTCTATACGCTTCATCCTATCATGCTGAACCGGGTTGTAGGCAATGTTAATTGCTGCTTGATTGTCACAACATAGCACCATAGGTTCTTTCGCCTCAACTCCAATCTCTCCTAACAAGGAGCGGATCCAGAGGAGCTCTGAAATACCATGTGCCATGGCTCTGTATTCAGCTCTGGCACTTGACCTTGCCACAACTATCTATTTCTTACTCTTCCATATGCCTCTACCTAGATGTCCCTTCAAATAGGAAAGTATCCTGTCAATATCCTCCCAATGCTAAACTCGTGGAGGATGCATGTATTGACTCACCACACTCACTGCTTAAGAGATGTATGGTCGTGTCATACATAAGTATAGCAACCGCCCCACTAACCTCTGATACCTTCCAACATCCTTCACTAGTTCACCTTTTGAAGCATTTATCCTGTGGTTTTGATCAATAGGTGTATCAATTGCCCTTGCCCTAGGTTTTCTTGTCTCTTGCAGTAGATCTAGAACCTACTTCCTTTGTGAGATGAAGATCCCATGCTTGGACCTTGCCACCTCAATGCCCAGAAAGTGCTTCAGCTCCCTAAGATCCTTAATCTCAAACTCTTTGTACAGATTCTTCTTCAAGGTATCAATCTCACTCAGATCGTTTCCTATGACTACAATATCATCCACATAAAGTATCAAAACTAACACCAGTGACTCCCTCCTCTTCACAACAAGAGGATGATCAGATTGAGTTTGAGTATATCCAAATACAACCAATGCACTCCTAAACCTGCCAAACCAAGCTCTGGGTGATTGCTTCAAACCACATAGAGCCTTCTTCAACCTACATACCTTTCATTTTTCCACATCATTGTAGAAGCCAGTTGGAAGATCCATATACACCTCTTACAAGTCCCCATTGAGAAAAGCATTATTCACATCAAGTTGGAAGAGTGGCCAAGAGTATGTAGCCAAGGTTCAAAGTATCGAAAACGCTATGCGTATCGGAAAAGCAAATTTAAGAGACGTATCGGGATACACCTTGGATACGCATGGATACGGATGAAAAGTTAAGATACGCATGGAAACACATGGAAATGTTATAAATACTCTAATAAATCATAAATAAACATCAATACCACTAAATATAAGACATAAATGAGCTATTTATGCATAAAAATAGCACGTTTTAGTGGGTTTTATGAAAAAAAGCATATTATAATCAATAAACAGGAAGTCGGGAACATAAACATACTATCTAATTATGGACATGATAGATCAATTAATTATTTTGCATGTTTTATTCTAATTTTCTAAAAACTAAATAATTATTTATTTTTATTCAAATAGTTATTTTGCATGTTTTATTCTAAAAATTAAATTAAAATTAAGAAAAGTAAATATGTAACAAAAAATTGAATGGATTTATGGACATAATTGATGAAATAATTATTTTGCATATTTTATTCTAAAAGTAAATTAAAATTAAAAAATAAATAAATATCAATGATTCAATGTTTTAAAACACGAAGGTGTTCCACTATCTAGAGGCGTGAATCATGGTTTAGAACGCAAGAGGCGTAAGCTTCCTTAAGAGGATGAAGGAGGAAGGGGCGATTTCATTTTTTTTCTTTATCTTTAATAAAAATCTTTTATTTTAAAAAAAAATAAAAATGCATAACATTTGTTAAAAGGGGGGTCTTGTCTTCGCCCCCCAGCCAAAGGGGCAGGGGCAAACCACTTTCTTTCTCCTTATCTTTTCTAACATTGGCTGAAAATGTAAAAAAAAAAAATTGAAAAAACATATTTATTTTCACTCCTTTTTACACAACCTTGGAAAACATATTGAATCTTGGCATCTTGCAAATTTATAAATGTTTTTGGCAAATTTTTACAAGATTTGAGTCTTTAGAAAGGTTAAAAGGCTTTTTGGAGGGTTTGGGAAAGAAAGAGGGCTTCAAAATAGGTTTAGAAGCCGTCTTTCGAAATCACTTCTATTTGTGTTTTAACAACAGTAAAATCGTTCTGTATCGGCCGATACGCCACCGTATCAGTTGCGTATCGGCCGATACATGACCGAAACTCACCGATACAACACTGATACGGCATCGATACGCCTTCGGCATGACGAAAAGGAACAGTACAATTGATTTCGAACCGTTCCCCGTTCCGGAAGCCTTAAGATACGGTACGTATTGACCGATACGGGCCGATACGTGACGAAACTTTGAACCTTGTATGTAGCTGCTAGTGATAGAAGAATCTAGATTGAACTCATCTTTGCCACTGGTGCAAAAGTTTCCAAATAATCTATGCCATAAGTCTGAGTGTACGCTTTTGCAACCAGCCTTGCGTTGTACCTTTCTATACTCCCATTAGCCTTGTACTTCACTATATAAACCCATCTGTATCCAACTGTCTCCTTGCCTTCAAGTAAATCCACAATCTCTCACGTCTGATTTTTAATCAATGCTTTCATTTGCTCTTGCATTGTTGTCCTCTACTCAAGTTTGGAGAGAGCCTCACTAACACTCCTGGGTATAGACACGGAGTCAAGGGATGAAAGGAAGGCTCGGTAAGAAGGAGATAATCCAATGTAGGAAAGATAGTGTGAGATGCAATGAGCATGAGCAGTACACTTCCTCTTCCCTTTTCTAAGTGCAATAGGGAGATCAAGGTTATTTGCAATGGTGTTAGGAGTAGGGGTAGTAGTATCACTAGGAACTAAACCATAAGAGGAATGAAGAGGCATACCTGGGTCTGCATCAGTCGAACCTGGAATCTCCGATGAGCCGATAGGGAGTGACATGGGTTCCTTTGTTGTGGAATCAATCTCCCTATGCTATCATAGGCACTGTCGTGTAAAACACTAAGAGATAGGACGTAGTGGAGGTGGCAAAGTGGGTGAGATAGGTAGGTCAAACACTGGAGTGGACAAAGGGGCTGGAACAAGAAGTGGTATAGATTTCTCACTTCCTTCTCCAAAACAATCCCCTTGAGAAGAACCCCCCAAGAAAAAAGGTGTGGACTAAAAAAAGGTGGCATCCATAGTAACATACCGACTCCTGGAGACCGGATCATAACAACAATACCCCTTCCGATTTCCTGCATACCCAAGGAAGACACACTTCTTCGCCTTAGGATCCAACTTTGAGCGGTGAGGACCAAGAACATGGACAAAGCATACACATCCAAACACCCTTAGAGGAATATGGAATGCCTCCCCCTCAGGCTGAATGGAGTGCTATATCCAAGAACACGAGAAGGCACCAGATTAATCAAGAAAGCTGTTGTAAGAATTGCATCACCTCAAAAACGAACTGGAATAGTAGAGCTCAACATCATGCTTCTTGCTACTTCCACAATATGTTTGTTCTTCCTTTCTGCTACACCATTCTATTGTGGAGTGTATGTACAACTATTCTAATGGACTACTCCATGCTCCAATAGGTATGATGCCACAACCTAGTTCAGCATGATAGAACTAAGCACATTGAAGTAGATAGACACTTTATATGGGAGAGAGTGCTTTCAGGAGAGGTGTGTTGTCCTTTCATTGCATTAGAGGAGCAGCTAGCAGATATTTTGATTGAAGGAGTTCCAAAAGAAAAGCTTCAACCTTATGTAAGCAAGCTGGGCATGATTGACATCTATGCTCAGCTTGAGGGGGAGTGTATGAGCCAAATGGGCCTTAACTTCTTTATTTCACTTAAGTTATGCTATGTTTGTGTTCTTTTAGTTATCGGGCCTTAGTTATGGGCCTCTTTTTGTTCTTTCTATTATTTCTTTAGTGCTGGATGCCCCATTAAGGGCATTCTAGGGAATTGTGTTCAGATTATAACTAAAAGAAAAAAAGATCTAATTGGGGTGATAGAGAGAGGATCAAACTCTTCTCTTCTTCTCTCATCTCCTTCCACAGACTTCTGCAAAACTTCTTTGTTTTCTTTCTTTTTTTTTTTCTTTTCTATATTTTCTGAATTATTGCAGATGTGTTTTACAACTAGCCTATTGGTCTCTATGTTGCTGATCAAATAATTGAGTTAGTAAATAAACAGAATTTGGGTCCTCAGATGTTGTGTTTAATAAATATACAGAATCCTTTTCTTACCTTGTTGTCAATTAAGGAGAAAATATGTTGTCTAAAATTGATGTTTCTTTATCTATTTGGTTGTGCAGTATTGCATATTTAAATGTAGAATTTTACAACAAAGTTCTTATTGGTTAAACTTCAAAGTTGCTAAGCATATGCCAAATACAATTTCTTATTTTTCTGTCTTTCCATGTTTTTTCTTGTTCAGTTCAGCCTGAAGTTAATATTTTTTGATGATACTTTACAGAGGGGAAATCTGTGCAGCAGATGGTGGATGAAGCTCTCCAACGGGTACCAAATAAAGATGGTTAGTTTTTTTTTTTTTTTCTTTTTTCCTCCTGCTTGCGTTCTTGAGCCAACAAAGTTATTTCACGTGATTAGATTGAGTTTGACCCTGAATGACAATTTTGACTGTAGGCGACAAAAATATTGATCGGGTATTGCTTCTATCCAACGCCTTTCTTTTCTTAGAATTTCTATCCAACACTTTGTTTTCTTTTCACTAAAGAAAACATTCCGAGATATGGAGTTCTGCCTTTTTGATTTTACAAGGTTAACCAGATTCGAGAATCATTGGCAATTATGGGCGATAACAACACAACTTTTAGCTTACCACAGGTATGGGCTTTCATAATGATGGGTTCTTTGTTTCAAAAATTGGGTCATGTCAATGATCAAATTTCAAAAATAGTTAAGAATTGAACTCCATTTTAGTAAGAACACAAACACCTTGACTGCCCTCCCTCATATCATGCACAAGTTTGTGTGTGAATTTGTGTAATGTGGATATTGTGGGAAAGCAAATGGTTATCAATAAATAATTACCAGTTAACTATCACCAAACATAGGCTAACAACAATAGGATTGGCACCAGTGTTGCATGGACATGGACATGGGTATAGGTGTAATGTGGGCCAGTCACATTTTTGCTTTGTTTGCACTATAGTGGGCTGTGCTGGCATGCCACAAAAATGTGGGAGGGGAGCCTGGCCCCACTTCCCATGGGCCTGTACTAGGCCAGACCAACCTGTGGGCCAACATGCTTTTTTAACTAAGAAAAATAAAAAGTTGAAAGAAAATTGAAAAAATGATGAAAAACATAAAAAAAAAACTTAACAAGAATACAAGATATACAACAAATTGAAAAATAATTAAATTTTATTCCATATGAATTTTAATGTATACAATTATTCATAATTTAATATATGAAATAGTAAAATGAAATTGAAAAAAAAAACAATGGAATTGCAACAAATTAGCATAAAAATTGAAAATAAAAATTTACAATGGAATTGGAAAAAATCACAAATGACTTACAGGTAAAACTGAAAATCAAAATTTAAAATAATATTAATAATTTTGTACAGTTCTTGCATATTGGCTTCACTTTTCTCTTCAAGTGCCACCTTCTTTATCTGCATTTTTTGGTGATCCATTGGATAAGGTGTCATGTCCTCTATCTTGTAGTCCATCCTCTTCATCTAACCAATGTTATAGGCATATGCACATTTCCAGGGTTTATCTATCATGCTGCTCCTCTTTTCATCCAATACCCTGTTATCTGCACTAAAACAAGACTCCAATGTGATTGTGGATATTGGAGGGGTTAGTAGATCACGTGCCATGGTGGCAAGGACAAGATAATTTTGTTTATGTCCTTTACACCAAGCTAAAATATCAAACTTATCTTATTCATCAACTAATAGGAAGTTTCTAATATTACTCTGCAAATAAAAATTAAATTCACTAAATGAACTTGATTAAGCTGAAGAAGAGCTAGAAATTTATTGTTGCTTACTTTCACTTAATAATGACCAAATTTTATTTGATGTACTATGTGTTGTGTAGCATAGCATTGTGGGCTTGGGCCTGTTTATGTTATGTCTTGATAATTATTTGTATAACTTCCTTTCTGGGCTAAATGGGCATGGGCTTATTCTGTTTTTATGTTTTCTTACTGTCTACTAATCAGGGGCAGATTAGTCATTGTATCCCTTTCTTATTGCCTAATATAAAAGACTGTTTTGGAGGGCTGGATGTTATGGCCGACCAGAACCTCTCTTCTTTCTATTTTTCTTCTTCTTCACAACTGAATACAAACATGGTATCAGAGCTTTGATACTACCTTCCATTCTGTTTGTTTTATTTTTTTATTTAGTATTGTTAAAGAAACGCTAATTCTGCTCGTGGTATCCTAAAACCCAGTTTCTTTCTTGGGTTTTCCCTATATGGGATGCAACCTTCTAAAATAGAAAAGGTGGAATTTCACCTGTGTTGAACATCTAACATAAACATTTTATATATTTTTTCTGTATTGATGACATAAGTTCTTAAAATCTTGTTTTCTTGAATTGGAAGATCTAATAAACAAAATAAATTTTCTAATTTTTGTAATATGCGGTGAAATAATGTTCAAACCATCTTGAATACAAAGTTAAAATATGACATGCACATCTAATATGAAACAATTTTCTATACAAAATAGGTTTTAAATGAGATTTTAAAATATTTACAGCAACATCATTGTCACTAGCATTAGCAAAGCTAATAGAAAAAGCTTTGCGACATATGGAACTGCGCTCAGCTTGCTTAAGTATGAGCTAACGAACCTGCAAATTGGACTATTTAACAGCCTCATCTTCAGCGAACAAAGCTTTGTGACATGAAGGATGATGAACTTGACCCTACTTATGTTGAGAATAGGGAGAAGTTGAAAGAACTTGTTGCTTCTATTATTCGTCCAAAAATTTTGCAGGGAGTACCTCTCAATGGAAAGCAGTTTGTATCTTTTCTGGAACAGGTACCTTTGTTTTGGACACTCTGGTTTTAACTGCTGCTAGTTTTTAATTATATATCCATCTTATCAGCATGTATTGACCTAGCTCATAAGATAGCACCCTGTGTATTGCAGCATTCAAAATAGTGGGTTAGACCCGGCAATTGTCTTCCCCCACTTGTTCCCCCAGCCATGACTATTTGCCTTGTTTTGTGCATTCCTTCTTTCTACAGAATAATTATTTTTTTAATGATGTTCAAGCAAAATACTGTTTGTGTGTTGCAGACTCTTGAAGCCTTGAACAAAGGGGAAATTCCATCCACAGGTTCTCTTGTTGAAGTTTTCAATAAAGGAATTCTTGAGCGGTGCTTGAAGCTTTATGATCATAGGATGGAGGAATTAGGATTACCCCTCCCAGAGCACTCTTTAGGAAGAGCCCATGATGAATCAAAAAATGAAGCAATAAAAGTATTTGATGAGCAGCATTTTGGCCGTTACCATGCTAAGCAATCTGTTGATAAATTGGATGAAGAAATAGATAAGGTATAGCTGGGAGACTGGACTTTATGTAAGGTTAACTAAAATTTCCATAATGTTTCTTTTCTTTTTTTTTTCCTAAATGGGCATGATTTTTCATAAATTCGTAGACAATATAGAAATCAAACATTTAATGCCAACTTAATTAGAGCTTTTCTTATCATTAATTGAATCAAAAGTTTTACCAAGACAATGTCCTTTTAGGTCAGTTTTTATGTGTCTAGGGAATTATGTGAACAAATTTTTAATAATTTAAATTTTAAATGGAAGAATATTTTTACTGCTGCTTAAACTATTTCAATTGATCCATTGAACTGATTTCTTTTTATCGGTAATCATAGTTTTCAATGCACCAAAGCAAAGATAGGTGTAGGTGGTACCTTGTCTCCTAGTTGCCTAGGGGATGGAATTTTTTGCATATAAGTCATGAATTTTAGGGTAATTCCCTAGGTTCCATAGAAACCAGAAACCATCTTTCATTCTTATTGGTTCAGGTTTTGAAGTCTTTGAGGGTTCAGGATGCATACACCAATATGTGTGTTGATTGAACCCTAACAAAGAAGAAAATAATAAAAAGAAACTAATATATAAACCCACAAAATGACTATTTTAATTTAATAATATCTATTTAATTATTATAATATAAAAAAACTAAGAATATAAAAATGTTTCTAGTATGGCATGTACAAAATAGGTAGACAATTAAGCGAGGTGACCACCCATGGGTGCCTTGTCGCCTAGGCATCGCCTTGACAAACTATGTTGGTGTAATCCATTGAACTTATATTCATTGTCATTTCTTAAGGAGTTTATTAGATTTAAAGTAAATAAAACAAAAGAGGAATGACCTAGCAGTTATTTCCTAGATGCAGAGATTTTGCCTATCTACATATTTCCTATATATCATCTTCCTAATTTAATGAGAGCTTTTCTTATCATTAATTGAATGAAAAGTTTTACCAAGTCAATGCCCTTTCAGGCCAGTTTTTATGTATCGGGAAAGCTATGTGGACAACATTTTAATTTTAAACAGATTTTTTTACTGCCTTTTAAACTATTTCAATTTATCTATTGAACTGTTTTTTATTGATAACCCATTTAACTTATATTCATAGTCATTTCTTAAGGAGTTTATTAAAGTAAATAAAACAAAAAAGAATCATAGCAGTTATTTCTGGATGCAGAAGTTTTGCCTATCCACATATTTCCAATGTATCATTTTCCTATTGGCACATGAAAGTATGCACTGCAAAATATCAATGCTTAAGCTAATACATCTAATCTTCTCAAAAATATTCCATGCTTGGAGGAAAAGGTCCATATTCTCAATTCTCCCCTACTATTTCTATAAATTCCTCCTTACCCAGGATTTCTAAGTGATAAGAGCCATCAGAAGCTAAAAGTTATCTTATCAACAGAATTAAATTAAAAAAGATAAGGAATGATATAAAACTTAGCTTCAACCCTCCTTAAACAAGCTCTATCCATCTCAAGGCATTCAAATTACCTTCCAGTTATTTAGTGTCTGAAATTCCTTGAAAGTAGAGAAACCATCTCACCACGTTGAGTTTAAAAATGTTGAAATTGTCATTACTTGGTTATGCCTTCTATTGTTAACTTCTTGCGTGGTTTTCCCAACTTTTTGGCTGAAGGATGAATCCACTGTGCATACACTTGCACATGGACACATTGCACCACCTGCATTGATTGTCAAGGCGGCCTAGGCAACAAGGCACCCTTGGAGGCTCGCCTTGCCCAGTTGCCAAGCAGTTTTGTGCACTGTTATAAACGACTTTTATATTTTTAATTTTTTTGACATTATAATTATAAAATAGACATTATTAAACTAGAATATTCATTTTATGTGTTTAGATAGTAAACTCTTTTTGTTATTTTCTTATTTGTTAGGGTTTAATCAACACAAACATTGGCAACTGCCGCATTGAACCCATGGTTCAAAGTATCAAGACACCTCTGTGTATTGGTGGAGGTGTATCGGTACTTATAACGATACTCCCCTTATTTTTTTTTATTTATTTGGTTTTCAATTTCATTTTTAAATATATATATATATATTATTTTAAAAAAAAGGGTCCCTGAAAACACCTGTAAACAGGTGTATCGGGACCCCAAAGATACAATACAATACATCTAATACGGAGTGTATCGTATCGAAATTTTGATTCTTGATTGAGCCCTCAAAGATTTCAAAACCTGAACCAATAAGCAAGGGAAGAACTTAAATTTTTGTCTAATCAACACATTTTCTTCTTCCACATATTCTTCTTCCACCTTTTCCTTTCTTCTTTTCCTATAACAAAAGTAGGGGTTCAGCCCCTATATTTTTTTTAATTATCTTTCCTTTGTTCTTTTTCTTCTCATAAAATGTTGATTTTCTAGACTTAAAAATTATGGATAATTATTAAGGAAAGATGGTTATGGAACCTAGGGAACTACCCTAGGATATATGGTTTTTCTTAAAAAATCCATTGCCTAGGCATCGCCTAGCCTTGCCTTGGCGCCTTGAAAACTGAGTTATTGTTTCATTATTGAATGGTAGCCATTTAACTTTATTGCTAGCTCAGCTATTACCTTTGTGCAAATTCTGAACTGCTGTATCACTAAACTGCATGTATTTTAAAGCATTGTTATCTTCTAATTTACTGTATATCTGTTTCTGTTATTGGAAATTTCCCATATAGGAGTACAAGAAATTCATTTTTGCAAATGAATATCAATCATCAAAGCTGTGTGAGGCACTGTATACCAAGTGTGAGGACAAAATGGATCAGCTTCAAGTTCTAAGACTTCCTTCCATGGCAAAATTTAATGCGGGTTTTTTGCAATGTAATCAAAGTTTCGAGGTGGAATGTATTGGTCCTTCAAAAGCAAAGTATGAACAACGTATGATGAAGGTTTGCCCAAGTTTTGTTTCCTTTTAGTTGCTGTTTTGGTCGTGACCTCAATTTTAGGTTTTGGTTGGGAGCAAATTCCTTTAAGTTGTTCTGGATAACTGGTAGGAATTGGAATTGAATTCTATCATCTTCATGGAATTTAAATGACCACTGCCCCTGGAATTTTGAAATCCACATAAAAGGTGGATTTATCAGAGTCAGAGATAACTAGTTACCGGCCTCTGCTGCTCTGCTGCTACTACCAACATAGTCAAGTACCTTGAACAATATTGGGTGCCCTTGGGGGGGTTGCCCCATTGCCCTTGGGCTGAATCAACCCAAAACAGCCTAAAGTATTAGCAGTGAACATTTCTAGTCTGGATCGAAAGCCTGGCCCAGCCTGAATCACAATATGTGTATATTATATCATTTTTATTATATATATGCATACATGTGTGTGTCATATATATATATATATATATGATAGCATTTTATATATTTATATAATGTATATTATATCTTATATTATAAAGTATGATATATTTAATATAATGTATTTAAAGTTATAGGTCCAGAAGCCTGGCCTGGCCCGGCTTAGCCCATGATCACCCCTTCTAAGATTAATGATGAAAGTGGTCTCTAAATTGGTCTTTAAAGTTATTGGTCTCATTTTCATGCAATCTCTAAATTGCCTTAGTTTTGGATATGCATCTTCAATGTGTATATGCAGATGTTGTCGAAGGCAAGGTCTCTATTCATTAAGGAGTACAACAACAGGCTTTTTAATTGGTTGGTGGTCTTCTCTCTTGTCATGGTGGTGGTGGGACGGTTTGTTGTAAAACTTATTTTTCTCGAGAGTGTAGCATGGATACTATTTATCTTCTTGGAGGCGTATACAAGGATGTTTTGGTCAGCAGAGTCTCTTTATTACAACCCTGTTTGGCATTTTATTGTGGCAATCTGGGAGGCAATAGTTTATAGCCCTTTCCTTGATCTGGATAGGTAATATTACCTTCTCCAGAAGACAGCATTAAGAAAAATCTCAAGGATAGACATTGGACTTGAAGATTGCCAAGTGATGTTCTAATGCTCTAATTTGTCTAATTGTTGTGGCAGATGGGCTGTTCCAATTGTTGTCATTCTGGCAATTTTTCTACTTTACCGGCGATGCTATGGGAGGAGCAAACATGGGACTCGCTTGCTGTTACCTCTTTATAAACACCGCAAAGGTGTCTCAAACAGGCCCAGATCCGATTAAAGGCCTATTCTATTTGAAAGATTTATGGGAAGCGTGTACTTGAGCAGTGTCTGTGCTTCTAATCACCATTCTCCTTCCTACCTGGATAAACCATTTATTCTTTTTATATACATGGAGCCGATCTAAGTATTTTGTATTTCTTGGACAACCCTTGATTTTGAAAAGAAGCAGGAGATCAGATAACGGTCGAGGGATTATTCTTATTCTGTGTAACTGTAGCATCTTCATCTTGTATTGTTCTGTGCTTTTATTGTTTAGACGTTGCAAGCCTCGTTTGTAAAATTTCTCGACTTAATAAGTGGGAACTATTATCTTTTATTGGTCAGGCTAGGAATCAAGATGTTGAATTTGATCACACCATTGAATGGTTTTCTGGTGGTGGAGCCCAAGTTTGGTTGGTTGATGATCTTGAAACCTGGAGTAAAATGCTAAGCACTTTCTGCTTTGGTACCAAAAGGGACTTGAAATAGGGTTTGGACACTGGCTGGAGCAAAGGTTTTGGCACCAAGGTTCAAAGTATTGATACGTGTTGGTGTGTGGCAACTTTTGAAGGTTAATACCCTTTATAGAGATGTCCTGGTTCAATTCTTGAATTTAAGAACATTTTAAAATTTAAATTTGATGTATCACTGCTTTGAATCACACAATATGCCAACCTCTTCCTAAGAAATAGAAATTGCTAAGACTGGGATTTGTTGCCAAGGAAGAAAGAAATAATTGAAAGAGACAAGAAAATTTTGAGCCATCTTCAACTTTGTTTCCTTTACCCCCATTTTGTTTATTTCAATAAAGTAGTGCAAAGCATGCTTCCTCTTCAATTAATTATCTTTTCTAATATTCTTCTGCAGCAAACACAACCTAAGAAAGGACTTTTTGCAAAAAAAAAAAAAAAAGAAAGAAAAAAAATTGACCAAGTTTGATCAATTGACAATTTCAGTTATGTTTTAGAAATAATAGCAAATTGAGTGAGCGGGAGAAAACATGAAGTTTTTAGGACAAAATTACCCTTTTTTGTTAAAAGTAGAATTCACTAAATCCAAAAAGCATTCATGTTTCGTTTGTCTTCTCCAAGTTTGAATTCGACTCCATCCATTCAGCTGGAAGCATCTCCAAGTTTGAATTCGACTCCATCATTCAAACTACGGCTGGTCGGAGGCATCGACTCTAGCCATTAAAACGACTTTAGATTGGGAAGCATCGACTCCATTTGGTTAGGAAGCATCAACTCAATTGATTCAAATTGTAGCTAGCTAGGAAGCATTGACTCCATCCATTCAAACGACTTAAGATTGGGAAGCACCGACTCCATCTGGTTGAGAAGCATCAACTCCATCGATTCAAACTATGGCTGGTTGGGAAGCATCGACTCCATCTTCAAAGCAAGTGTACTAGATTAAGGTGGTGAATGATAATGTTAGATTGGCTAAAACAGCAAGACAATTGAATAAAGCTCATAATGCTTATCTTTGTGATTAATACCCAAACTACATATCTACTTATATGATCAACAACGAGAATAGATTTTTTGCCTAGATTATCTGGTATGGAGCAACCTGGGTGGTGTTTAACAAATTTAGGCACCATCTAGCATGAGAAAGAACAGATGGTTTATTACAAAGTTGGAAACCATCTTGCATTATATAGACCAGATGGTTATAGAATTGGAAACTGTTCGGCATCAAACAGATTGGATAGTATTTTACAGAGTTGGAAGTCATCCAGCATTACATAGATTGGATAGTGATTTATAGAGTTGGAAACCATTCGGCATTACACAAACCGGATGGTTTATTATAGTTTTGAATCTTCAATTGCAATTGTAGATTTCAGCCCCTTAGGTGATAAATTAGTATTTACATCATCAAAATCATCTAAAGCCCAGCATTTCATAAGGTAGTATATGATTCTTACAAGTGTATAAACCATCCAACATGGAAAAGACTGGATGGTTTATTACGAAGTTGTAAAACATCCGACATTACATAAAATGGATTGTTTATTGCAATTTTGATTTTTCAATTGTAGTTGTAAATTTTAGCCCCTCAGGTGTAAAATAGTATTTATACCCTCAAAATCATCTAAATCCCAACATTATATAAGACAGGATATGATTCTCACAAGTGTATAAACCATCTGGCATGGAGAAGATTAGATGGTTTATTACAAAGTTGGAAACCATCCGGCATTATACATATCGCATAGTTTTTTATAGAGTTGGATACTATCCGGCATTACACAGATTAGATTATTGTTTGTAACTTTGAAACATAATTTTTTTGAATGCTTTTTGAAATATAAATTATAGTTGCAAACATCTATACCTCCACATCATAGTTACATCATCAAAATCATTTGGAACCCACTAAACCTCTTTGTTTTGTATGATTCTTATATGTTTATAGACTTAGAAACCATCCGGCACTAAATAGACTGGATAATTGTTTGCAATTTTGATACATAATTTACAGTTTTGAACATCTATCCCCCTCTAGTTAGTTATACCATCAAAACCATTTAGAACTCAATGGACCTCTTGGTTATGTATGATTCTCATATTTATTTGCAGCTTCTTTGAAGAAAAGGACTTTAAGTGTACTTAAAGAGGAAATAAATTGGAATTGATAATGCTCTTGGTTAATTGTACTCTTCTATTGGGTGTTGTTGGCTACTATGAATGTTAGCAAGGGGTTGAATGAATTAACATACCATGCCCATGACCGTACCCAACAACTTAGGCTAGTGGCTTTCAACAACCAAAGTTTCCTCCTTTTAGGCATTTCTTCATATAGGTGGGAGTTTGACTTTCTATAACACAAAATTAGTAACTACAAAAGGAACTAGTTATCCATCAACCAAATGAACGAAGAATACATGAAACAAGGTGCTACAAATCAAAAGAAACCAAATTTATTGCTTTAATTGATCCTGGACTGCTGGTAACCATTCATTTCCAACTTTCTATTGATTTCTAAGTCTAATTTTTTTTATTTACATTTTGCAAATACTCAACTAAATTATCAATTACTTACATTTTAAGAGGAAGGAATTTCTTTCATTCTTTAAAAAAAAAGAATATACAATCAGAATTTGACCAATGAATCACATCAATTACTTAAACAATGAAATACAAATACAAAGAAACAACAAACAAAAAAAATAAAATATGTAAAATCTCCCTAGGCCAGTTAAAAAGAGTTGGAGAAACAAGAAAAAAATAAAGGGAATGGGACCGTAAATCGAGGTTAGAAGAAAAAACCCCTTCCTGCTAACTCTGAAGTTTGCGAAAAGGCAAACAATTGAATAATAATTTTGAACTCGAACTTGGAGAGTCGGACCCCAAATCACTCGAACTCGAACTTGGACAGAGAATGGGATCCTAAATCGCTTGAACTCAAACTTGGATGAAGAATGTGACCCCAAATCAGTCTTACTCGAACTAGGAGGGATATTGCTTTGAAGATGGAGTCTTTCCAGCCAAATGTAGTTTGAATCGATCAAGTTGATGCTTCCTAGCTAGATGGAATCAATGCTTCCCAATTTGAAGTCATTTAAATGGATGGAGTCGATGCTTCCCATCCAGCTATAGTTTGAATCGATTAAATTGATACTTTTCAATTCTTTTTATCCAAATGGTTTTCAAAGCAAAAATACCAAAGTAAAAATATTTTAAGTTTTTTATACTTAGTTATTTTTAAAACTACAAAAGTGCCTTATAAAAAAAGTTGAAGCATAGATGGAGTGTAGGATCAATTAAGGCCAATCTATTGATCCCTCAACATTTTAAAAGAGAGAGAAAGAGAGAGAATGTATAGTCGGGTCCAAGTAAACACATTCAAGCATAGAAACGAACTATAAAGGCATTGAATGTGTAGCTTCCTAAAGGTAAGTTTCATATCAACTTATCAAGTTCCGAGTACAACTATAAATATTTGGGTTGGAGCAGGTAAAGTCAATCCGAAAGGTTGTCCAGCTCTTGTCTAGTGTAATAAATTTCAGGTTCACCTACATCACTATTTGACAACCCTAAATCCACACCACACATTTAAACCAAGAAGTAAGTTGTTGCGTTAATCTCTGGGTTCTAAACATCTCTCTCATTCTAACATTTAAGAACTAACCACTGATTATTGATTACAGTTGAAACCAACCTCTCAAAACCAGCTGGTCACTTGTCCGAATAACTGAAGCTTGTTTGGATCTAGGTGGGTTCATCTCTACATGAATGATAATATATATATAATTACAAGCGATGTTTTAAATGTGGGTCTGCAGGTCTTGTAGGTAGGTGTGGGTATCATTTTCAATGTGCGGCTGCAATTATGCACTCACAAATGCTATCCACACTACCCACAACACTAGAGCCACACATCGACAACATCTTTTCATGAATGACCAATTCAGATCTCTTGCCCATAAGAGCCCTACCCACATGATATTACAGCTGTACATTAAGAAATATTTTTCTATAAATGTTAACGTGCAAATGGGAGAGATGTTCTTAATGCACAATTATAATGAAGCATGAATGAAATTCTTGCGAGTAAGAGATCCAAACACACGAATGACAATATACAAATGTGGGAGGTAAGTTTCTAATGTGTGACTGGCTGCAGTGTCTTGTGGATAGGTGTGGGTAGTGTTGTGGGCAGCACGGTATGGGTATTGGGTAGTGTTCTGAACTCTCCACAAGAATGCCTACCCACAAGACAAGGCAGCTGCACATTGGGATAGGCATGTTAGTTCAACACAATAGGTGGAGGGGGTCTCTGGTCTCCCATCACATATTCTCCAACGCTCTAACTTGTCTTTTGAACAGGTCCATGTGGATATTACGCTATCATTCAAAGTTGAGGGACAGATATCCGAATACCTTTAAGTTTCTTTATTGAGATTAAGGTAATGGTCCTCTCCTCAGTCCTCACCATATCTCTAACCTCCCCAACGCGAATCCAGCATTCAGGCGGATGGAGATTTTGTGATCGTTGTCTTCATGGTTTTTAAAAACGAACTGGTGATCAAACTGGTCAGGGGTCCGGTTATTAGTTCGAATGGTCCAACTATTCGATCCGAACGGTTGACCTGTTTTGACGAAAAAATAAAAAATTAAAAAAATTGAAAACGGTCAAAACCGTTCGAATGGTTTAAACGGTTCAAATGATTAATTAGCCGGTTCAGCAGTTTGTTGATCAAAATCAACGGTTTTAGAGAAAAATGAAACCAGTCAAATGACCGATTCCTGGTTTTTCCGGTCCAACCATCCGATCCGGTCCGGTTTTGAAAACAGTGGGTCTCAATCTTATTGTATTAATTAAAGAAAT